GCCTGCGACCGCGCCGGCCGACCATAGCACAGCCGCGATTCGCGCCGGAAGACCGCAGGGCGGGCGCTGTATTTCCCGCGCTTTTGACAGACGGCACCGGAACCGGTGTCCGTTCGCCGAACTGAGCGGTCAGCCCGCCCCACCTGCGTCACATGGCCACAGACGTCGGCCCGGGCCGACCCCTTCTGGGTCTGATCGACCCGCCTCTGGACTGCGGCTCTGATCGATCCGCCTCTGTACCGCGGCTCTGATCGGCCCGCCTCTAAACCGCGGCTCTGATCGGCCCGCCTCTAGACCGCGGCTCTGATCGGCCCGCCTCTAGACCGCGGCTCTTACCAGCCCATCTTTGAACTGCGGCTCTGATCGGCCCGCCTCTGGACCGCGGCTCGGATCGGTCCATCCCCGGCCGCGGCTCTGATCAGCCCATCTTTGAACTGCGGCTCTGATTGGTCCATCGCTGTCCGCGGCTCTGATCGGTCCATCCCTGGACCGTGGCTCTGATCGGTCCATCCCTGACCGCGGCTCTGATCAGTCCATCCCTGGTCGCGGCTCCGATCGGTCCATCCCTGACCGTGGCTCTGATCAGCCCTTCTTTTTGCAAAGTTGGCCTTTCAGCCAGCTGAAACCAGTTCCTGACTTCTTGGCTTTTACCGTTTTGTACCAGTTAAAACTAGTGTTAGCTGGCAGAAACTCACAAAGCCGAAGAGTTCCTCTTTTTACGCACGCCACTGCATTGTAGCTGAAATAGTTTCTGTCCAGTGAAAATGTCGAACGTTCCATGCTAGCACAAGGACAGGATAAGAATATATGGCACATGCGCTACACTAATTGGTGCACCTCTAGTGATGCTTGAATGCATAGATATATGACACCATGGAAGTTTAACTGGGATGACAATGTGCACAATTATATCTGCTTTAAGTCGACAGTTACTAGCCGATGTTTTAAACGCTATGTGCGAGTGTTATAGTCGTAGTACAAAGTGATGATGCATGCAATGTTGCTGCCTTTGTGAGATGTGCATGGCCTAAATGAAGGCCAGGCACTCCCTCGGGCGTACCAGGGCCAGTGTGTCATGACGTGTGTTGGGCACCATCCAGGCCGGCCACTCCGATCAGGCGTACCAGGGCCAACGTGTCATGCCATGTGACATGTGTTTGGCACCATCCAGGCGGCCACTCCGATCAGGCGTACCAGGGCCAATGTGTCATGACATGTGATATGTATTTGGCACCATCCAGGCCGGCCACTCCGATCAGGCGTACCTGGGCCAACGTTTCATGACATGTGACATGTGTTTAGCACCATCCGGGCGGCCACTCCGATCAGGCGTACCAGGGCCAATGTGTCATGACATGTGACATGTGTTTGGCACCATCCAGGCGGCGCACTGTACGTGCGAGCACGCCGTCACAGGTCACGTATCTATCAAGACGCATGATGTATGGGCCAGACTGCGGTCACTGAGGTCACGCCAGCTGGCGTGGGCGCCAGCTGGTGCGACGCTTGTTCCGACCGGGTGGCCTCCTAGGAGGACGGCAACGGAACACATGGGATGTCACGCCAGCTGACGTGGGCGCCAGCTGGTGTGTCGCTTGTTGCGCCCGCGCGGCCTCCTGGGAGGACGGCAACGGAACACATGGGATGGTGGAAATAACAGGGTTTTCTGGCTTAAACATGTGTTGATGCAGAACTGAGGTTTGAGCCTTCTCCCAAATTGGATGCTGCATTTGCGTCGGTATGATTGCCGGCAGTTTGATGCTTAGTCGGTGGAACATTGAATGTCGGCCATTTTGTGGCTCTTGTTGACCAGCACGTGATTGTCGGCCGATCATGCTGTACCACTCTTACAATGCGCCGACTGAGTTGCATGAAAAATCGACCGACTGCATTGCTGGCATATTGATAACTAACCATTTCGTGGTCTTTGTACAGATAAATTTATCTGTGCCGCTTGATTTGTGTTAACTGCAGTCTATTCCATGTACCTCCCTAACATTCTGTGGCATCCTGCAGTGTATGTCAGCCAGCCATTATCCTCGTTGTAATTTTAGCCCTGCTCAGTGTACCACATAACGCTAGCAAGGATCGACACGTAATGTTCGTGTCATTTTGCTGTGCCTCTTTAGTCCTTTCGCTTGTGACGTGTTCTGCAGTACTTGGCTTGTACCACTTTTTGCCACCTGTGGCTGCTACCAGCCGGTTTTAAGCCGTGAAGCTGGCTAGCGGAGAGCAATGCAGTTGGCTGCTGCCAACCTCTCCTGTGAACCGCGGCTCTGACCGGTCTCAGCGCCGCGGCTCTGGTTGATCTCAGCGCCGCGGCTGTGGTTGATCTCAGCGCCGCGGCTCTGGCTGATCTCAGCGCCGCGGCTCTGGCGGTTGGCTGACTGCCCATGTATGGTGGCGCGTGCTGCCGCCGCCGCCCGCCATCACAGCCGGCTGGAGCCCGCCAACCCAGCCCGCCAACCCCGCCGCCCCGGTCTGGGTTGCACCGAGTCCAATCGTGTCCCAGTCTGGGGTGACGCCAAGTCCAGCCCGTCACGTACGCTCCGCGTAGAAAGTGGGCTCCCGGGGATCCCTCGGCCTCGACACGGGATGCCCAGTCATTTGGCTCCATCTGTGACGTCACATCCGTGGTCCAAGCGTCTACAAATAGCCAGCGGGCTGCCTACTTTGCCGGCAGATATTTTACCGTATATAGCAAGTGCAGCCGAGGAGATCGTGTGATAGTTGCGATTTTCCACGGAACAAAAAGTAAAAACACAACTGCTGTAAAGTATCGTCATTGGTATGGTCATTTGCAATGTGTCTCATTTGCCTAATGTTTAAACCCGCTGCGCATTTTTGCGCTATATTTCATTTATTGAAGCAAAACTACGGCGAAGTTTCGGCGTTCACAAATGTATCCTCTTGTGTGGTGGAATCAGATGGTCATTGTCGGTCGACTGACTAGTGGGGGCCAGTCGCAAATATTCCTCTGTGTGATCAGGCGAACCAGCACAAAAGGCGACGCTTCTGTATGCATCTAGTAGTCTTAAATTCAACAACAATTTTGTTTGCTCCGAATCGCGGCAGCTACACGTCGCCGTACAAACGCTGTAACCCATCTTGCTAATGCTTCAAGAGAAAACGAATGGCATGGTCTCGTAGGTCGCATAACCGGGGCGTACAGTTGGCGGCGTTCACCAGCACAGACGGCAGCCTACAGATCATGCCTTTATCTACTTATCTTGTGATCCTACATTTTTGGGAAGGGAAAACAACAACGATTTAGCATATTCAGAAAGCTTGGGCATCACGTGTGGCGTTGTCTGGGGTGGGTTCTCGTGCGTCCCGGCGTCTGCCGATGCCTCGTGTGCCGTAAATGTGCCACCGCTGATGGCATTAGGCTCATCGGTCACTGTTATCTGTCACTCTCAGTGGTCACTGTCACTGTCTGGCGCTGTGTCAGTGGCGGCAGTGAAGCCTTGCGGCCACAGCTGTTCGCTGTGACGTCCGGTAGTGCAGCCAGCCGGAGTCGTGTTTGACGGCGCTGGCGGCGGAGTCGCTGCCGGTGGCCGCTCACCGCACCGTTCGGTCCGTGTCGTGCGCTGTGACCTCTGGTGACCTCTGACGGAGGCTGATCTGTGCCTGGCAACCACGCTGTGTGCGGAGTTGCCCGGCAGTGGTCGTTGCACTGATTGCACGTTACACGTGCGCCCGCCACTGGTGACCTCGGGACAGCGCGCTGGAAATTTCCCCGCGCGCGCCGCGGAATTACCACCGGATTTAGCGAACTGAAGCTCACTGACCATTTAGGTAATGTGCGCGCGCATAGTGATGCAACATGGAACAGAACAGCCGCCATGAATCACCAGGGCCTGTCAGTGTGGAGTGTAGCTGGCGTCGTTCGTGGAAGGAATTTATTATCCATTCGCGTGGTGTTCACCGGTTTTGGAGGAGGGGAATTTATATATTATGTTTATGATACGCAAGAGTACTGTCGTGTGGCCGGATTTAGCCAGTCCCGCCTCAGCGGAACCAATACCGGCTTCTGGTCGACGTGCGTGGAGTTGGACCGAATCTGATTCGCGGCGGTGTTGTGGGAGATCCGAGTCGATCACGATCCTAGCTCAAGTGGGCCGGTTCCACTGGCAGTCACTAAGAACGTAAGTCGATTGGATGAGTGGACTGTGCGTTCAGCATGCATCGGCATTCACTGCAGACTTCGCCCGTTTCTGCTGCGGATTCGAGGCTAGTTGTCACAGTCTCGTGCGCCCATATTAGCTCCCGCGTCCGAGGTCTGCCGTGTTATCTGATCGGCCGATGAAAAATGTCGTATTTCGCAACTGCATTGGATTCAACGGATGGCCTGACTGGTGGAGGCTGGCCTGCATGCCGTGCTGGTTGGTGGGTGGCTCGTATTAAAGCGGAGGCGGTAATTTATTAGTTACCCATCACCCTATGCGGCGTACAATCCGACAACCATGCGGGAGACATTCACGCTATCATAAGTCATTACATGAGTGACCACATGACAGGGAGCACGAGTGATCACACGCGCAGCTTGAAATGTTGAGTATTTATAATATAACCTGGTGCGTTTGGAAGCGTCATTCTCCTGGGTTATTGAAGACCGATAACTGCTAGTAATGAAGGACTCTGAATTGCTCAGTCCACGTCCTTACAATGAGGTTTGGTTCGTGTGTTTAGCGATGACAGTTATTCCGCCGCACATCGAGCACATGGTGTGTTTGATTATACACGTGGGGTCAATGGTGTGTTTGATTATACTCGTGGGATCAATGGTGTGTTGGATTATACACATGGGGTCAATGAATGTCTACGTGGCCATTCAGGTGCATTTGCACAAAAGACAGATCCTTGAAATGTGGGTAGTTTAATGTGTGGTGTAACCTACGCAATAATACAATTCGTTATTAATCGGGTACTTGCCCACGTGATGAGGGCAGCCGCCGTTGCGCTCGGGCGGCGCTAAACGGAGCGCCCTCTGTCGGCAGGAGTTTGTACACAGCTCGCTGGCCGACCTGCTCAGCTGGCACGTGCTGCGGGAGCCGGAGGGCGTCCTGGGACGCGCCGTCGTCGAGCTGGGGCGCGCCGAGACATTCTGGTGAGAGGCTAGGGCTGAGGCTGACGTTGGGTTGGGGCGACGTCGTTCACACGCCGTGTCATGTCTTGTAGGGTGGCCTGGTCAGCGCTGCCGTGTGTCCGGTGCCGGCCGGGGACGGGTGGTGACGCTGGCCCGTGGGTTTGTGTCTGCCCTGGCCCCGCGTTCAGGCGGGCGCAGGGCCCTGGTGCCGGCCGGTGACGAGTGGTGACGCAGGCCCGGGGGTTGTGTCGGCCCTGGCCCCGCGTTCAGGCGGGCGCAGGGCCCTGGTGCCGGCCGGTGACGGGTGGTGACGCAGGCCCGTGGGTTTGTGTCTGCCCTGGCCCCGCGTTCAGGCGGGCGCAGGGCCCTTGTGCCGGCCGGTGACGGGTGGTGACGCAGGCCCGTGGGTTTGTATCGGCCCTGGCTCCGCGTTCGGGCGGGCGCAGGGCCCTTGTGCCGGACAGCGGCGACAGTGGTGGTAGCCGTATCTGTGTGGGGCCGGGCGTGTCGTGATCCCACTTCCCGGCCACCCCCAGCCTGAGGGCGGCGCGCGGCCAGGGCCCGACCAGCGCGGCCGACCTGCCGCCGGCCGACGGCAGCACGCTGCACCGCCTGCTGGCAGATCCCGACACCGTGCCGCTCGAGAGACTCAGTCTGGAGACGGTCAACGTGAGTCTGTCCGAGTGTGAGGGAGAGTCTGAGAGTCTGCCAGCGCTCGGCCGACGGCGGGAGAGTGCTGGCACGCCAACGTGAGTCTGTCCGAGTCTAAGGGAGAGTCTGAGGGTCTGCCGGCGCTCGGCCGGCGGCAGCAGAGTGCTGGCACGTGGCGACAGCGGCGGCGTCGGCTGCCAAGCTTTGAATTGGTGGCGGCGTGCTGTGGACAAAGGCAACGGAGGGTGTTGGGTGACGGCGCGTTTGAATTGAGGTTGCTGCAGTCGCATGTTCATTCATGGGAAGCAGCTCCAGCCATGTAGTGTGCAGTATCACTCGTTGGCGTTGTGTAGTATCGGATTTAGGACGGCTTAAAAGCGGCTTTGTCAGTTTGTTCCTGTCCACTGCAGTAGACGGGTGAGGGTTGTAAAGACAGCCGATTGGAAAAGCCTGGCGTCAGCGTGGCGCCACCATCGCCCGCACCATGCGCTGATGTGGCGGAGTGTCGATGTCTGGCACGGTCTTATAGCACGCGGCGGTGTCCCCCAGAAAACGATGAAGCGCGTTCGTCACTGCCTGAACACGCTGCCGTCGGCGCGGCCGGCGCACCCGGAGGGTGACAGTCTGGTGCGTGAGGTGCATCTCACCGCCGAGCTGATGGTCACAGCCGTCAGGTCAGTGGGCCAGCGCCGCCGGGCGAGGGGCGGCTGGCACGGGGCCGCCTCGGTCGATCAGGTGCCGCCAGACCGGCGAGCGAACGGTCTGTGTCTGAGTCTGACTCGGGAGCAGGTCACTGCGGACGCGTTGGGCGGGACAGCGGAGGGAAGGACGACGTGACCGCCCGACGGCGCGTGTCGGGGCGCTGCAGACACCGAGGCGGATCGTGCACCAATGAAGGCGTAGTGTCTGTCTCGGTGGTCTCGGCATTCGACAGATGTCTTAGAGCGTCAAGTGTGTGTCATAGCGCTAGGTCCGGCAATGTCCCTCCCGCGATAAGGGTGTGGCGAGGCGCCCTGTCAGAGGATGCGTGTTGAACGCCGCAGGATCTGTCGGGCGCTGGTGTCGGTCGGCACCAACCCGCACAGCAACATCGGTTTCTCCGTCATCAACGTGGGCGTGGCCAACCTGGCGCCCACCTTCTGCACGGACACGGCCAACAAGTGAGGGGACGTGGCCACGCGACCCGCAGCGGTGCCGCCGTGCACCAGCGGTGGACGGGTTCGGAGGAAATTGACGCCTGCTGTTGCAGCGAGCGTGCCGTTGCGGTGCCGTAAAAAACCGTCGAGAGCGAGCGGACAGATCAATGTACTGGCGCACGTAAATGCACGGGGTGCATATATCTGACCGCGTTTCCGCGTTCCCCGGTTTATTTGCAAGTGGGATTGTCGTTCGATTTCTTCTGGATGTAGAACGGCGTCGAGCTTTGGTGTTGGCTGTTGGTGTTTGAGAGTGAAGCACGCGAGTGCGTTCACGCCTGTGAATTTCGACACAGTGTAGTGCACTGCTTCTCTGGCTCCGTGGCCCGTGAGGTCGTTGTCCGCCGTGGTAGACGGCCTGCGTGACCTATGCCAATGACGTGCGTCCCTGTAACATGTGGCGGCTTTGCTTGTGCTACTGCCGCCTGTGCCAGCTGTGCGCATCATTGTGATCCGGTGCTAGTCACACGCGCGCGCGCGCGTATGTGTGTGCGCGCGCGGGCGAGTGCGTGTGTGCGCGTGCGTGAATGTATGTGTAACCGGTAGCCCTGGCTGGCAGGCTGCTGAGCCTGGTGGAACAGTACCGCACGCTCTGGCTGGACCATCACCAGCCGGCCGGCCTGCAGGCATCGCTGCTAGTGCTCACCGCCCTGCTGCAGAAGCTCATCCCCGAGACGGCGCAGACCGGCAGCCTACAGTAGCGCCTCTTCTGCCACCTGGTGGCAGACCCGATCGTTGGAGGTTGCCGACGGGATCACTAGAAATGGTTGTGAGCGCAGTTCCGTAGCCCTCGAGCGGCCCGTGTTCTCCCATGGGGCGCTTCGCCACATTCCACGTCAGTGACGACATCACCTGGAATGGACCGCAAAGATCGCTGGAATTGGAATGGAAAGAGTGGATTGGATGACGCTATGGGAGTTGTCAATGTCGTTCAGTGCCTTTTGTTGTGTCGTCGCCTTTTGCACTATATTTTATAATCCAGTGTGCGACTTCCTTGCTACCATTTGCGGGTGGCTGTTAATGCGTTACTGGGTTCTGCTGTTGGGTGTGTGTGTTATCAATGATGATGGCAGTCGTTTGGCTATGGGAGTGCGTGTGGTGCTGGCGAAGTTGTTACCCGCCGTTTGGGGCAGTCTCGATCGGTGACCCAGGAATTAGGTGATTTGCACGAAATTACTACGGAGGACGAGCGAGGTTTTACCAACAAATTTGCAAAGTGCATTGCGAGCTTGTTGGCCAAGGTGCTCTATTTGCACACGGTTACGGACTCGGTATTCCAGCACAGGATCCAAGCACGCAGCACTGTTGATGTGGCTTACATTCCGTCTACCCCATGCCAGCTTGCGGGCGGTGTCGGCCGGCCCTGGTCGCCCCGCTGTCGGGCCGCTGCTCGGAATTCCGGCTCCATCTGCCTTCGAGTCCCGGCCCGCGGTGGCGGGCTGCGTGATATCCGCTGTGGTCTGTGGCGGCTGTGGCCTACTACTCCCGGTGGTGGCTCTGTACTGCGCCGTCCGCTGGCTCGCTGGCGTGGTCGGCACCCGTTGTTATTCACTTCCAAGTGTAATTGCAGATTTTTGTTTATTTATGCCCGTTGGGAGGTGCGTTAGCCACTGTTAACGCTTATCACCTGGCTGTCTCTCTCTCCTCATCTGCCGGTGGCGTTCTGGTTTGTAATAAACTGTCGTGGGAGTTACGCGCTTTCAATGGACTTTGGAGTCTGGAGTGTCACCATAAGACATGGACGACTCGTCACTGACGACGCTGCGTGCGTTTGCCACCTTTCTGGCTCCGTCCAGCCGTGTGGATCGACGATGCAACGACCAGCGCCCGTCACTGCCGCCTGCCAGGGTCGGCGCGACCGTGGCAACGGTGGAAGCTCAGGCACTACGCCAGCCGCTGTCTTCACACGCTGATCCTGTGCGCTCCAGTTGTCGAGGGGTCGCCTGCCCTGTCGACGAATGCGAGCTACCATAACATGGCTCTCGTTTTGAGGCCGACAGCACGCTTCGCCGCTGGGCGGACATTTCCAAGTTGTAATTCATTGCTGGCATGGGTGGTGGGAACTATTGCATCACAGATGCTGCAAACGCGGGGGATCCGGTATTCGTTTGGCGCATACACCAACAGTACCGCGCCCGAGCCATATGAGGTGCCGATTATACAAGGGCTCGCGAGCCAGCCGCTCGGGAGGTCACACCAGCATCGCGCCACGATCACGTGACGGTCATGTGCATCGAACGCTCCAGAAATGAGGTCGACACTGCTGCAAATGGATGGCAAATGCAAAGTGTAACTGCACCGACTAGTTTCAGTAACAACGGCGTGCGTGATGAATGCAATGGCCTTCAGGTGCAATAAGCGGGTACTCTCCCCCCCCCCCCCCAAAAGGCAATCCATCTCTTACATTCGCGCCTGGCGCTTTGACCACCGTCTCTTCTTCGGCTGCCGATGTTCAGTGTCTTTGGGAGCGGAGTGTTCCCGCACACATCTCGACGCCCCTGCACTCCCGCGAATCGGGGCGTCCAGGAAAGTGAACTCATTACCTGCACGGACGCGCAGACAAGATGGGAAAGACGCGTGCTACACTGACCTGGTTCGCCAGCTGTTGCACTGGCAAGTTCAGGCAGAAGGGGGAGCGTCAGCTGTTGCACTGGCGAGTTCAGACAGAAGGGGAGGCGCACCACAGGTCGCAGCTGTCCATCGAGCCGCGCCACACCTTCGGTGAGTGACTGCTACCGGACTAACCTGAGGACGCCGCACAGCTACGTGGCCGGTGAGCGCTGGCGGCTGTGGTCGCCTTTCGCCCCGGCCATATCAACGTCACCCTGCCCTTCCCGGCGAAACCGCCCTGAAGGAGACGGTCGCAGGGTAGTGATGCCGCTGGAGCAGGTTGTGGGTGCGCTACAGGGACACAGATACGAGTGGGATCAGTCGCTGCAGGAGTGGCGGTGTACGGACCGGCCACGGCAGTCAGCGGGTCGGAGTGTGAGGACGCACGCTCTCACCGGCATCAGCCGACTGGCGTCACGGTGACCGCTGACCGCGGAGGCCCGGTGTCCCCCGCCCCCGGCGCTCGGCCCGCTGAGGCCGGTGTCCACCCTCCCCGGCGCTCGGCCGACTGGTGTCGCGGTTGACCGCTGACCGCGGATGGCCGGTGTCCCCCGCCACCCGGCGCTCGGCCGACTGGTGTCGCGGTAACCGCTGGACCGCGGAGGCCGGTGCCCCCCTCCCCCGGCGCTCGGCCGCGGAGGCCGGTGTCCCCCGCCCCCGGCGCTCGGCCGACTGGTGTCGCGGTGATCGCTGACCGCGGAGGCCGGTGTCCCCCTCCCCCGGCGCTCAGCCGACTGGTGTCGCGGTAACCGCTGACCGCGGAGGCCGGTGTCCCCCGCCCCCGGCGCTCAGCCGACTGGTGTCGCAGTGACCGCCGACCGCGGAGGCCGGTGTTCCCCGCCCCCGGCGCTCGGCGCCGACTGGCGTCACGGTGACCGCTGACCGAGGAGGCCGGTGTCCCCCCGCCCCGGCGCCTCGGCCGACTGGCGTCACGGTGACCGCTGACCGCGGAGGCCGGTGTCCCCCCGCCCCCGGCGCTCGGCCCGACTGGCGTCACGGTGACCGCTGACCGCGGAGAGGCCGGTTGTCCCCCGCCCCCGGCGCTCGGCCGACTGGCGTCACGGTGACCGCTGACCGCGGAGGCCGGTGTCCCCCGCCCCCGGCGCTCGGCCGACTGGCGTCACGGTGACCGCTGACCGCGGAGGCCGGTGGTCCCCCCGCCCCCGGCGCTCGGCCGACTGGCGTCACGGTGACCGCTGACCGCGGAGGCCGGTGTCCCCCGCCCCCGACGCTCAGCAGACTGGTGTCGCGGTGACCGCTGACCGCGGACGGCCGGTGTCCCCCGCCCCCGGCGCTCGGCCGACTGGCGTCACGGTGACCGCCTGACCGCGGAGAGCCGGTGTCCCCCCGCCCCCGACGCTCAGCCGACTGGTGTCGCGGTGACCGCTGACCGCGGAGGCCGGTGTTCCCCCGCCCCCGGCGCTCAGCCGACTGGTTGTCGCAGTGAACCGTCCGACCGCGGAGGCCGGTGTCCCCCCGCCCCCGACGCTCAGCCGACTGGTTGTCGCGGTGACCGCTGACTGCGGAGGCCCGGTGTCCCCCGCCCCCGGCGCTCGGCCGCGGAGGCCGGTGTCCCCGGCGCTCGGCCGACTGGAGTCACGGTGACCGCTGACCGCGGAGGCCGGTGTCCCCCGCCCCCCGGCGCTCGGCCGCGGAGGCGCCTACTAGTAATGCATTATAGGAGAATGGCAGGCATGTTTCTACCCTTCGGGGCGTCATCATCACAGCCCAGGAGAATACAAGTGCCGGGTGACCCGGATATGTGCGTGTAAGCTCCAATACGGACAGCCTGAGGTCATGTAGATTCGGCAGCCAGCCTGATGGACATCTGCAATACACTGCGAAAGTCCCTTTTTCACCAAGTGAGTGCTGTGGGACAGCGACACTTGAGACGACCATCCAACGCGAGGAACGAAGGAAGCCAGTTTGAGCCCTGAGTCGTGTCGTCAGTTTTCGTAGTCCAATGGGCGGTCCCTGAGCGCACCCAAGCCCTGCCCATGCCATCAACCGCGGCTGTTTGGCGTAGCATACAGATATTACAATGGCGCGTCGGTGGCTTCTTCCTCGTACAGTCACTCCGCCACTTCCGTAGCAGCTCGGTACTTGCATCGCCGCCCACAGTGGCGATGCACCGGCCGGTGGCCGCATCCACGAGCACGCCAAGCTCTCCGAAACGGAGAGATCGAAAGCAGTGGCTACCTCTCAGCGCGGACTTATGGCCAAGATCGCACAGAGGCGCGTGACGTGGCGAACAGTGGTCAAACCAGATACCAGGTGGACCTGTAAATTATTTAAAACTACAACATCGATGCACAGGTACACCAGACATAAAAACAAGCAGTACACATTAAAGCATTCCGTCTATTCCCATAAATCACAAGTATATCACAAGTGTTATCATTAAACTACACTTATCTAAAACACTATTTGCACGGGCGGCGATTCATACTGAAAGACTGGATCTGACGCCCTGTCCACATCCGTCCAACTCCCGTGGACTCCGAGCTTCACGCACGACCGCAGGTTGGCGACGAGTCCACCGCGCGCCGCGGCACACCCTCGTGACGTCACAGCGAACTCGCCCCGTCCGCCTGGAGCCGGCGAGCAAGGCGCGACGCAGCAGGAGGGGCGGCCGACGGCAGCGGCGTCAGGTCCGCGCCGCGGACATCCCGGCACAAACACGTGGTCCTCGCGATTGGTCATCTCCCTCCACGATCACCCATTAATGCCACCAAAGCTCTGCCCGCGCTCGCAAAACTCCGCCGCGCATTGGCGGCCACGCGGCCGGAGACGCGCGTCTCCGGTCCGGCCGTCGAGAGCGGCGCACAACCATTCGTAAGGCTCGACACGGCAGTTCAATGGCGTAAAACGGCCGGCGCGGCGATCGCCGGGTTACAAGGCCACAACCATGGTAGGCGACCCCCGCCACCCCGCCGCTCCGATAGGAAGACACCGTAACTCAGGCACGGAAGCAATGTTTACAGGTTTGGCAGCCGGTTAGAGGCAGTTGAATGGCCGGGGGGGGGGGGGGGGGGAGGGAAGGCGCCCATCGGAGCGCAGGACCCGCGCCCCCGCGGACGAGCTCGCCCACCCTGGGCGCTCTTCCGTGGCACTGGCCGAGTCGCCGACGGCGGCGGCTCCGGGCAAAGGCACTACGGTAGCTGCGCACCTCCCCACGCCAGTGCGGCCGCCACCGCGGCGCTGGCGCACACACTGCCCCGGGCGCTGGCGCTGGTCACAAGCCCCGGCCTAAGCACGACCCGGGGTCGTCACCCTTGCTCTCGGGCGCCTCGTCCGACTCGAGCAACTGGCGCTTGATCAGCTCGGCACTGCGCGTGCACTGACGCTGGAGCTGGAGCTGACACTGGCGCTGGCACTGGGGGCGGGCTGAAGCGCGACCGATGCCGGACCCGGCTGCTCGGCCGCCGCCGCCAGCTGCCGCTGTTCCATCTCTCGAGCCAGCTCCATCCTGGGGAGGGGGGGGGGGGGGGGGGGGGGGAGCGGTACGGCCGTCAGCGCCACAAACGCGAACGATCCAAGGACTGGCGGGCCTGGGCCAGGCAGCGTCAGGGAGCGTGGTGCCGTCCACGCAATAGGAGAGGCCTTGAGGACAAGTCATTAAAGCCTGGCAGGACCTTAAGCTACATATGCAGGCAGCACGCATGGCAAATGGTGAACACCACGCAATGCAGGTGCTGGATAAACCTTGTCCCAAGCCAGCACAGGCTCTTAGGATTATAAGTGAGCAGCTGAGCGGCAATACCTTAGCAATGGAAAACACGTACGCAGAGCACTATCAGCTACAAACTGATTTCCCTTCTGCAAGTGATGAAACTGTGAGAAGAGTTTTCGTTGGAGCTGAAAACTAGTTTGGATATTTCCGGAACTTCCAGTATCGCACGCAAACCGCAGTGAGCGGCGACTGATGAGAACGACCACCAACTGTGCCGCCATGCCCGGCCGGTGACCGCCGCTGGCGCTGACGGCCCGGCGCCGCCTCCGGACGCGTCGGTCACGTACCCTGCGCGCCTCGTATTCATCACGATGGCCTCCAGCTCCAGTTTGTGCAACCGCATGATCATGGCGTCGAAGCAGGAGAGCTCGCTGAGCCGGAAACAGGTCCCACTCGAGCTTGTGGTCGTTGCTCCGGCGATGCCTGGCTGTAGTACACCTTGAGCCAGTGCGGAATCTCTGCGGCAGGTACGGGTGGGCGTCAGCCCGGCGTCACCGAACCGACGTTACCCACCGGGACAGCCTCGCGACGCCAGCGCCACGCCATCTCACCGGCCCCATGCGGACTGCTCTGTCCGTACACAGCACAGCGAGGCAGGCCAATGGTGACTCCGCACATTCGTGGTTGGGCAACTAGGCCACAGACCTATGGCGGTTGTCTTAACACAGTTTCACACTGCTGTTTGGACGCCAGATCGAATGATATGCAATTAACCTTGTTTGCGGCCAAGCGAGTGTTCGGCACCCGAAACACGCTGCCGGAAGTGCTGTTCATCAGCGCATGCGCGAACGGTGAAGAAAGTCATTCGTGGCCATAGCTGAAACCAGTGGCCGCTGCCTGCCAGGTGCTGTCTCTAAGCCGTGACAAAACCCCTAATCACGTACAAACGAAGGATGGCGCACGTCAACAGGCACGGTGCAGCGGCGTACGGCTGACGTTCCGCGTCCGCAGGGCCCCGGCGGCGCCGGGCCTGACCCCCAGCGGGCGCGGGCCCGCTGGCAGTCGGGTCAGCGCTGCCGGCCGGACTGCGGAGCCGCAACTCATCAACAAACCCTCGGCAGGTAGGGACTGGCCGGCACGAGCGAGTTGCGGACAAGCTGCGTGTGACCGGGCCGCTGCGGCACGGGCAAGCGGCGGCTGAATTGGCGCGTCTTCGGCGTGCAGCGGCTCGGCGCAGTAGCGCTGGTGCCGCGGGTGTCTCGTAACTGCAGTGTTGCTTGTGTGATGTGAACTGCCGGCGCACACGGGCGGGGGGGTGGGTCAGGTCAGCGTCAGGTCAGGTCAGGGTCGGCGCGCTGGTAGAACGGCACGCGCGTGCCGACGGTGGGGGCGGCGGCCCGTACGAAGTGATTATCTCGGCACGTCGCAGCTGACGTTGCCGCATATAATACAGCGCTTACAAAGTGTTGCATGCACAGGTACGAAGCACGATACGCAACCCAGATCCAGAGTCACCCCGCCGTGATGTACAACAGCTGACGTAGCATGCGAGGCGGGTTCGGCACACCACCAGACGAACGGGCAGTTTGGGCGACGATTGTGATGAACGGGAGCTGCCGCCACTCACTTGACGTAGTAGGTGCCGTACTCCGCCGAGTCGACCCGCTGCCAGCCGGTGGGCAGGCCCTCCTTCTCCAGCGGGTGCGACCAGTGCGTGGTCTTGGTGTTGTGGTCGATGTAGTAGTGGCGACCGTCGCGCGTGTAGTCCACCGACCAGCCCGGCGGCAGAGGCAGGTCCAGCTCTGGGCGCACACAGACACACAGTGTCACACTCTGGCCGCGCAGTGCCTTACACAGGTAGCTCGACGGCCAAGGCGGGAGCAGCTGTGAAGATCAGCAGGCACGCCATGTCAGACACTGCACCGACAGCCGCGTTTGACGCCAGACACACAGCAGGAGTCAAGCCCGCGCACCAGAGCCCCAACGTCTGACGCCGTACACCGCAACTCACGGGATTCACCGCGCGTGGCCGGCCACATCAGCATACGCCGCGGCACAACCTCCCCGCCCGTGAGCGGCCCAGCTCTGCCCGGAGCGGGTCCCGACCGCAGCGGCCCCGCTCTGCCCGGAGCGTGTCCCGACCACAGCGGCCCCGCTCTGCCCGGAGCGTGTCCCGACCACAGCGGCTCCGCTCTGCCCGGAGCGTGTCCCGACCACAGCGGCCCCGCTCTGCGCGGAGCGTGTCCCGACCACAGCGGCCCCGCTCAGCCCGGAGCGTGTCCCGACCCACAGCGGCTCCGCTCTGCCCGGAGCGTGTCCCGACCACAGCGACCCCGCTCTGCGCGGAGCGTGTCCCGACCGCAGCGGCCCCGCTCTGTCCGGAGCGTGTCCCGACCACAGCGGCCCCGCTCTGCGCGGAGCGTATTCCGACCACAGCGGCGCCGCTGCTGGCTGCGCGGGTCGTGTCCCGGCCCGTCGTCTCCACCGGGCGCCTGGACGGGCCAGCGGCTGCTGGCGTGAGGCAGCCCTGTGGCGCGGCCGCCTGCGCCGGGGCCGCTGTGCCACAGCTCCGCGCCGCCGAATGTGTACTGAAACAGCGCGGGCACTTGTCTGAGCCGGCGCCAAGGGACCGCCGTGTGTCCCGCCGTCCGCCGCCGGCGAACACACAGCCGGCCGGCACGATCAGCGAGCTCGCGCCGACACGGCGGTGCCCGTGTTTGCGGAACACCGGTTGGCCACCAGAAGCCTCGCTGTCAGCGCACCGTTGGTAATGAGCATTGTTTGTGAGCAATGAGCATGAGCAATGCATCATTACCAAACATACCTTCGTATAAGGTGGATTGGTAATTTGACGCGATACCTAGCTCGCCAGCGCACACCATCGAAAAGTTGCTCAGCTGACAGCTAGGATACGTAGACGAGAATTAATGGCGTGCCAGTTTGTAACGTCAGATTTCGTTACATATTTCCAAAAGTTACGAGCCACCATAAGGTCAACACAAGTGTTTTCGACCCATTGCTGGGTTCTGAATAAACTCTTAATTGTCCTGTCAGTTTTGGTGGCTGGTCCTCGGAACTCTGAGAACGCATACCATCGCTTGTTGTTGCTGTTGCTGTTGTTTGCTGTGGTGTGCTGCTGGAGTAGGTGCTGATGTACTGAAGCCGCTGCGGAGAATATGGCTGCTGCTGCTGCTGCTGCTGGTGCTGTGTGTTGTTTTTGTTGTTGCTGTTGTTGATGCTTCTGCTTCTGTTTCTTTTTCTGATGCTGCTGCAACTGCTGCTCCTCCTCCTCCTGCTGCTGCTGCTTGCTGTGGCTGCTGCAGTTGCTCCTGCTGCTGCTGCTCCTGTTTGCTGCTGCTGCTCTCCTGCTGCCACTCCTCCTCCTCCTCCTGCTGCTGCCGATGCTGTTGCTCCTGCTCCTGCTGCTGCTGATGATGATGCTGCTGCTCCCGTTGCTGCTGCTGCTCCTGTTCCTGTTGCTGCTCCTGCTGCTGCTGCTCCTGCTGCTGCTTTTCCTCCTCTTCCTCTTCCTGCTGTTGATGCTGGTGCTGCTGCCATTGATGCTGATTGCTGCTCCTTCTCCTCCTCCTCTTCCTGCTGCTGATGCTCCTGCTGATCATGCTGCTCCTGCTGCTGCTGCTGGTGCTGGTGGTGGTGGTGGTGCTGCTGCTGCTCGCGCTGAAAAGACATCGGCCACACATAAGGCAACAGTTGGGCCACGACAGCATCCAGCGGAGCTCACACAGAAAAACGCCATCAGAGGCCGCAAACGTGAACGCGCACAGTCTTGCGTTGGCAGTCCGATGCCATTAAGCAGTAACAGCTAGCTGCACGGCCACAAAATACTGAGCGTCCAAATGGGCGCGGCGGTGGCGCCATCTTTCACTACAATTTGTCAAATTTTGTTTTTTTATATTGAACGGTTCTCGTTCCAGCAGCAAGTTTGCCGCATCAATGTATGATACGTTTTCTCCACGGTGATCCGTACTCAAACATATATCGTCAAAGCACTTCCAACAGTCGTGCAGCGCGACAATCCCACATCCCAACAAAACATACCGCCAGCGGTCCTTTTGCCGCAGACCCAGCCGGCGGAGGCACCACCACGCTCTCGGTGTCGCGGCCCCCGCCCCACTCACGTGCCGCTGCAGCAGCTGGCGGTACTCCTCCAGGTTCTGGTTACGGGCTCCGGCGGCGGCTCGCCGGCGGCCGTCGGCGGCGGTAGCGGCGTGTCGGCGGGGTAGTACTGCTGGCGGGAGGGCTTGCGCGCGCCGTGCGGCGACGCGTGCCCGCCGGGCGACTCCTGCCGGCCGGCGGCGGCGCGGTCAGACGCGTCGGGCCCGGTCAAAACCCGCTGACTCACTGGCCGCTTGTCGACGAACGCCTACAGCGGGGGCGGCGGGCTCGACACCGGCGCTCCGCTGTGACTAGCAGTGGCTATTGACTGGCGGTCGGTCGGCCGCTCACCTTACATCAGCCGGCAAACGTGCCGGGCTGCACTCCTGCACATGCGACGGAAGCCAGCCGGCATCAACCACACTTCACGTCAGGCTGTGAAGAAGGCGATCATACCAGCGGCGCGCCGTGTCGCACCAGTCGTCACACTAGCCTGGCTTTCTGGCCCGTCCTGGCCGCAAACAAGACACCCGCCACGCAACGCAGCCTCACGTCACGATGCGAGCGCCGTCCATGTCTGACAGACATCTCCCCGGCCGGTGTCGCGCGCCACGCCCCCGGCGGCGGCGGCGGCGGCGGCGCCGTCCGGCAGCGCCAGGCGACGGGCGTGGGGCCGCGGCCGGCCGGTGCTCACCTTGAGCCGGTCCAGGTGACAGTCGGAGCCGGCGTAGTAGTTGATGTAGGTGTGGCTCATGGCCTGACGCATGCCCCAGTGGTGCTGCGCCGCCGACGAGCGCTTCTCACGCAAGCTCTGGTTACCGATCCTGCGGCGCGGGCGGGGCCGAGCCCATCTTACCAGGGCGGCACAGACATCGCTGCCAGCTTCGAGAGGCCGGTACAAGTGGAGCATTGACAACCAGAGCGAGGTTGAGTCGCTTTTTTCGACGAAAAGTCGCTTTCGTTCGGACTTGGGCGTCGTGTAGTTCAGCTAGCTTTTTCACAAGTCATCCAGGAAGCGCACGTCTCTGTTACGCACGATCTGTGGATAACTGCCTCCTCGCAGATAGTCCTTGGCAGGAACCGCACGTGAAGACGGTACTCATGACATAACAAAAGAAGGGTACCTGTGACGAGGCATCCGAACAGAAGACGGCACCCAGTCGCTGACCCACCCTGGCGGCATCCGCTGACATGTCACACGCGTGGAGGCGATCCTCCACGAGCGCCCCACACGGGGCGCTGCCTCCTGGCGCGAGACCCACCTGGAGGTGAGATCGGCCGGGTGGTGCTGCACGTGGCCGGCGTGGTTCAGCTGGGAGCCGTGCGGTGAGTGGGCGGCGACGGCGGCGCGCAGGCCGCCCGGCCGCGGGCTGGCGCCGGCCGGCGAGGCCAGCGCGCCAGGCCCGGCCGCCGAGTGCGGCGTTGTAGGTGCCCTCGTGACCGGTGGAGACGCGCGCCTGGCTACCGCGCGCCACACCACGAGGCACGATGCTGCCCGACGAGCCCGGCGGCTGCAGAGAAACGGGCGTCACACGGATGGCGCGGAGATACAACTGCGCTCAGGAGGACCTCGCGACACAGATTGGCAGTCAGACGCATCTCGTGAGACGGACCAGTCGTCAGACACACCCTAGGAGATGGGCCAGTCACCAGATGCATCCCAGGAGATCGACCGGTCGTCAGACACGTAACAGAGAATGTTTGAAACCACCTAGAGTTACGTCCAGATCAGTACAAAATAAATTTGGTTACAAAACAGCATCATGCCCCGCGCGTACCTGGCTAGAAGAAAGCGACATTTTCTTCTTCCAATCATTCTTGGGAGGCTTAGGTTGCTGCGTCCACACATTGACGACTGAAAGTGCGCATTTGATTCGTTACGTGCCAAAAATACACGACATACATTTGGGATATGTTGGACCAAAACAATCACTAATAGCTTAAGTCCTTGCGTGAAGCATTTGATTTGATGCGCTGCACGTTTCCCTAGCCAATTTCGTCGGAATTTACCGCACTGGTATAGAGCTAAGCATACCACGTCGGCGTAGCGCAGAACCCATGTGCTGATAAGTGACAAGACCTGTATACAGCAGCACAAATTGACACAAACCAGCAGTCTTGACAGCACTCCCGTCCTGACCGCGCACTCTCTCACAACTTAACGCGTCGCGTCGCCACGGCCAGTTCCGGCGCGTGGGGAAGTGGTTCCCATCCCGAGACCTACATGGCCGGGACCACCTGGTCACCTCCTCATCCGTCGAGCTCACAGCGATCGAAACGATCTGCGAGAAACGTCGGACGTCTCAGAATTCGCGAAACTAAAAACCCGAGACGGGCCCACCTGCCTCAAACCTACGCGTTGGTTCCCTGGAAGCATACTCATGTGGAACCGCGTTCATCAAGAGCCATGCAAGGGCTGCATCGGTTAGGTCGGTCGACAATGACGGCTCCGGGGAAACCGGAGCGAGGACGAATACAATGGAAGCAGCTCTGCCTTGGCTCGCGCTGTCGGTTCATGCACCTACACCCGCACTAGACAGCTGGCGTTACAGCGAAAGTCCAGCTACGTCTGCAGGATAGAAGACTGCAGCAGGACTAGCGTCCGTCTCGGTCGCTGCTGTCCTCTGCGAGCTGCGCACTAGTCCAGAGACCAAGGACGCCTGCTGAGACACAGACTGTGCTGGACCGTGCAGCGCAACCCCCGCCGACCGGGCGAAATCCGAGGTAAACCACCCGCTGGCCCCGGGCAGCCCGGCGAGACGAAGGGCACGCTCAAGACGTGCGCCCCTCGGTGAAACAGCTTCCCGGTAGCGGTCCGGTGGTGGCTGATTGCCTTCTTCAGAAAGGTTCGCCAATGTCAACACCACATCTCCATCTGGCTGGAAGGTCCTGGGCACGCCGGCACCGATCCCAACGTGAAAACGGACCGGCCGGTGTTTTGGGGTCAGAGGGTAGACGCAGCACCGCTCCAGTGGGCTCCGACGTCATGAGGCCACGTTCACAGAGCAAGGGGGACTGATTACTGGCTAACCAAGGTTGACAGCCCAGGCAGTAACCTCCATCGTCGGCATGAGGGTCTGTGCCGAGCTTGTGCTGGCGTGGTGCGGCAAGAGAACGGCCAGTCGGTCGACCCGAGGGACGACACCTCCGAAAACACGAACTGACGTCTAGACCATGTGATGCATCTGAATGAGGGGTCTATCTCAATTGTGAATGGACCACTGCCATCCAACAGTAGTAAACTGCTGACTATGACCCAGATGTCACCAGAAAAGTGTTGAAAAGATGCATGACAGCCTGGCGCAAGCCTGGAAACACTGGAGAGAGGGAGGGGGTCTCATAAGACTAGAGGCCACCCATGCTGTTAATCAGTTAGCAATTGGGTGATCCCTGAAGTCAGCTGGTGCAAGCAGACAGCAGGAAATTACAAAATGGTGTTGATTGGATGAAATACTCTTTCCACAGACTAAGTTTCAATGTAGGGGTGAAATGCCTTCTGTAATCTTTGCTCTTTAGCTTCAGACACTTAAGAACTTTCAACACACCACAACACCAAGCATGCACAGATATAACATCATATGGTCATAAGACATCCCATTGCATTCATATCATGCAAGATGTGTTTTATGGATCATGAGAAAATCGTTCCGAGAGGTTCTGAATATTTCTCACAGTACTTTTGGATTCTAACATTATCACATCATCTTTGGACAGTATCCTCACATAAATATAGCTATCTTAGTTTCCTATAATACTCTCTCACTTGAAAGTTCTGGAGGTGCCTCCCGCTTGACATATGTTCCGCTCACTCCCTCAGTGATGGTTGAGTCTTTGTGCTTCCTTAACATGATGCCAGGTCATTACCCAGCCTGTGGAAGATGGACATATAAGTTTGGCAGGTTGTATTCAAACATTACCACAGTTACATGGATAATATATATATATATATATATATATATATATATATATATATCATGCAGTTTTCACTGTACCATGGCTCCAAAACATGTCATACATTGCTGATTTAAGCCTTTGCTTTTCTTTTCATATCAGCATCTATTGCAAAAGTTGTGCTGGACTCATGCAACATATACACATTGGGACAACATTCCTGACAAGTTAAAATAGCTTTGAGACAATCCACAATGATACCTGCTATTTGAAATGTCCTTATTACCATAGTTAAAACTAGTACACAGTTTTCTCAAACTAGAATGTGATGCTCTGAAAGGGCTGATTTTTCAAAGATATGATGCAACCAATTCCTCACTGGTACTAGTACAGATTGTAAAATTACAACAACTGTGACTGGCATACCAGCAACAATTCTGTCACAAGTTCAGTATATGTACACAGTAAAAGCCAAAAGTGTAAACCCAAGTTTAGCACACAATTGTGATCAATTTCAGAGCATAGCAAAAGTTTCAAGAGATCGTTGAGTTGTGAGTGTGATTTAAGGCAAACATTAAAAAGTTCAAAAATTCAGCAGTTAAGCCTGGCCGGAATTCAACGCGCGCGAGCACGACTTTCGGCGCACCATGTCACGAAGACGTCCAACGCAGCGGATGATTTGCTGTCGGCTGGGCACTGACTACCACGAAACCAATTAAAACATGACCACTATTCGTGCAGTGCCAACAAACCTCAATACATGTACACCTGCCACCCGACCCACGGCAGGTGCGCTTTCAATGTCGCTTGATAAAAATCCCTCAAAATGGCAGAAGTAACGCGAGACATAAGCACATCCATATCCCCAGAAGCCAAAAACAGAAACAGGACCGTCGTTTCCATTTGTGACGCATGCAAGACAACTGGAGTTTAAGGCTACCAGATTCAGGAACCAAGAGATCGGTGGGCAGCAAAATCGGCAGATCGTCCACAGTTGCACCAGATTTTCCAATGCAGTGACCGTGGGGGCGACGCATGGATTTGGAGCACGGCGGACCAAACCCAATGTGCGGGGAAGGCATACTGGTGCAGGCAGAGAAAGACCGTTGACTCTGAAGATTGCACAATCAAAACAATCGGATAATATTTGGTGGCAGGTACTTACTGTCCCCTCCGGACGGAACAAGCAAACTACGGATCCGAATTGCTGCCCGGATGGGCGGCAGCAACTGCCACGAATCATTGGCACGGGTAGTTGGAACGGCGGGTACATGACATTGGGAACAGTATTCAGTCCTCTATCGGTGCAACATGAGAGCAGCACACAGAAATAAACCATTGTCTTCCACATCAATGCGGGCTGGTCCACCTAACCGTTTGAAAGTTCTAGATGGCGCTTCGGTCGAATCTTCTGAACTACTTCCATGCATAAGACAAAGTTAATGCTAAGCTCGTCCGAGAGCTGCTGACAATGCCTCCCGCTGATACGTTTACCCTCACCCACCTCCCTCTGCACTTAACAATGTCCCGTTCTTTAAGACACCAAGAGAGTATCCATGCTCGGGCGTGCTAAATCAACATGGATGCATTCGGTTCTCAAAATAACAGATTTCGATCTGCAGACCTACCATGCCTGAGGCACTTCGCAATGCTATGACCGCTTCGTGTCTGCCGCGTGATTCTTCGGTGGTGCATTTCGACTCGACTTTAGATTTGGAGCCTGGGCCGAACCCCGACACCTCGAGCGGCTGATTTGGAGCCAGGGTCAAACCTTGACACCTCGAGCGGCTGATTTGGAGCCTGTGCCGAATCTTAACATCTCGAGCGGCTGATCTGGAGCCTGGGCCGAACCTTGACACCTCGAGCGGCTGATTTGGAGCCTGGGCCGAACCTTGACATCTCGAGCGGCTGATCTGGAGCCTGGGCCGAACCTTGACAGCTCGAGCGGCTGATTTGGGGCCTTGGCCGAACCCTTGACGCCTTGAGCGGCTGATTTGGGGCCTAGGCCGAACCTTGACACCTCGAGCGGCTGATTTGGGGCCTGGGCCGAACCTTCACACCTCGAGCGGCTGATTTGGAGCCTGGGCCGAACCTCGACACCTCGAGCGGCTGATTTGGAGCCAGGATCAAACCTTGACGCCTCGAGCGGCTGATTTGGAGCCAAGGTCAAACCTTGACACCTCGAGCGGCCGTTTTGGAGCCTGGGCCGAACATTGACACCTCGAGCGGCTGATTTGGAGCCTGGGCCGAACCCCGACACCTCGAGCGGCCGCTTTGGAGCCTGGGCCGAACATGGACACCTCGAGCGGCTGATTTGGAGCCTGGACCGAATCTTAACACCTCGAGCGGCTGATCTGGAGCCTGGGCCGAACCTTCACACCTCGGGCGGCTGTATTCAGCAGAAGTTAAGCACATAAAACAACACGCATTTCGCGACACTGAAACAAGGCGGGCACCCCGCAAAATGTGTTACCGACCGGCGCGACCATGACTTAAATAGCGCGCGGCGCGACGCGCACAGAGGAACTCGCTGAGACTGTCTTCTTGTAAGTCGTGCCGCACGGGCGTTGAGCGTCCAACAAAAGCGCGCAAAATAATAAACGGCGCGGTCTGCGAAACGTCTAACTCCGGCAAAAACGTTTTCACTTAAGCCCAGTGACTGACGGCACCGAGCAGGGCCAAACCTCGCGCAAACGCAGCCGGCGGCAGGCAAACCAAGACAACACACGCGCCACGAGCGATCATCTCCGCACACCGCCACACTGATGGCAAAATCAATGGAGCATAACAAAAAGGCTGGATCTAATCAGCCCGCGTGTAGGTGGTCTACGAAACGAGTCCGGCAAGGTGACGTGCTTGATATGAACAGTAATCACCACAAATCACTCACAGTTACATACGTTTTCAGCATAGGCACGACCATGTCAAGAACAGTTTCACAATAGCACTGGCCATTTATCGCAACCATACCGAAAATGTTCTCCAACGCATCTAACCCGCACTAACGTTCAACCTCGCAGGAACACTGTAAAACTTCATCACGAGCAGATACTGACAAAAACACCTTTGTGGACAATGTGACAAACAAAAGTGCAAGTGATGAAAGCAGCAAAAAATCTTCGTTTACGTAACTGCTCCATAATTTCCGAGGATACTTCGGTGCTCTCAGAGGCACGCGCAGAAATGAAAATCCAAGTCACGCAGCTAGTGGTGAGGCATGGCTGCGCGTCAGGGCAAGACCCCTCGGACATCCGGGCACCACCGACCGTCTCGCGCTCCTCTCCGCCGCCCGATAGCCCGCGCAACGGACTCACGACGCGCACACTTCCGCACAGGCACTCTGGAACGGCCAGACCACTACAGCCGCCACCCCCTCCCCTCCCCCATACTCAGCGGCAGTTGGCCGATTTGTGTCCCCCCTGCCCCCCCCCCCCCACACACACAGAGGCACGGACGGGTATCGCAAGCAGCCTTTGTGCAGCGGCTGGACAGACGCGGTCGGCCGAGGCCGTGCCGCGCTCAGGCACGGTAAGGCAGCATGTTGGGACGCCCAGGCCGGGCTGGCCAGTCTGCCCACCGCTCCAGGCCGGACGACGGCCGCTGGAGGAGCCCAGAGGCGCACGCGGCGAGAGGCGAGGCAGAGGCGCGGCCGGCCCGCCGCTTCCGCCCGTCCAGCGGGGGCAGGGCCGCATCGGTGCACCGGCACGCGACCGGCACGGCACGGGCGGCGGCGGCGGGGCAGGGCGGACGACAGAACGGGCCGGGGCGCCATCCGCCCAAACACGCGACAGACGAAGGCAGCGGCGACAATGCGCCAGGAGAAAGCCGCGCGCAAGGGGCGTTCCCGCCGCCTCAGCTCAGCTGCGCCTACCCGCAGTATCACAATAGGTGGGCAGCCGAGCGGTACCCAGCGGCGCAGCCGGCTCGAAGCCGAGCTGACGCCCACCGCTCCGAACGACCGGCACGGTCGGCGGCCGCTCCGCTCTGGGCCCGCTAGCAGCGGCCGTACTCGATGTGGACGTTGGAGCGAGGCCGGCGCGAGTACTTGATCTCCAGCTCGTCCCCGACCTTGTCGATCAGCTCCAGAATCTGCCGGACAGAGACGACCCCGTCAGCAGCCGCCGCTGGTGAACACGCTCGGCCAGAGGGGGGACGACGCCCATCGGTCGTCAGCCAGCGGCGCTGCCAAGCAGGGACAAAGCGAGGCGTGAAGCGTGCACCTGACCCGAGCTGGCGAACGGCACGGAGCGCCACAAATAGGCCGCGGCGCGCGTGTGGCGTCCAGTCACGGCACGTTGAAAGCCAATGAATGCCCCACGCCGGTACGCTAGTCTGCACGACGTTTGTGGTGAATTGAGTTCGCCGCCGAGGTAATTGAGTTACGGACCACGAGCAGCGGGCGCTAAACGCCACTGTAAGGCCTATTGCGGCAGCTGGCGACCTCGTACATTGAATGCACCTCCTTTCATGCGCACTGCGTTCGCACCCAAAGACACAGCTCGCTTTTCGTTCCTTCTGGCCAATAGAGGGCCAGGCTGTCATCGGAGGCCGCGCGCCGAAGCGGCGTGACACGTATATATATATATATATATATATATATATATATATATCTATCTATATATCTATATATATATATATATATATATATATATATATATATATATAAAGATCCTCGCAAAACTATGCTTCGCACTGACTCTGATCCGGCGAACATCGCCACAAAACATCCGACGCACATCCAGCCAAATGACATCGGCACTGTGGTCCCACATGGCAAGCTCTCCAGCCGGCCGCGTAAGTCCGCTGGCGCCGGCAGCGGCGGTGGCGAGGCGCGCGGCCCGCACCTTGTCCAGCATCTCCTTGGTGTGGGCGGCCGAAATGCAGAAGCGACAGCGCACAGTCAGGATCGGCGTCGCCGGGAAGCCCACGATCACGGTGGCGATGTTGTGCTTGAACAGCTCGCGGGAGAACGCCCTGCGGTCCACGCGCACTAAGTCAGGTCACAACCACGACGGCACACGACAGCCGGCCACCAAACGCCAGGCGCAACACAGCGGGTACCATCTACGCACAGCCGCCACGCTCCATCACGAGCACACGCTGCGAACGGGGAGTGCGATGGACGATAGGCTCAGATTTACGTGAGCAACACGTTACTCAGCACGAACCGATTGAACACGAACAAAACGCTGCACAGCCGACACTAAGTCCAGCTCCATCGTTAGCTCCGCTCCACACACGCGGACGGCAAGGAACGTATGTGGCGTACGCGTCACGCAAAGGCAAACGATGCACGGCTGGCGTGGTCACTTGCAATGGGTACTGTAACGCCACAAACGACAAACGCATGTTGCCCGGGCGCCGTGGCGCGGTCAGGTACAAACATCGATCATTTGCAATGGGCATTGTAACGCCACAAACGACAAACGCACGTTGCTCGGGCGTCGTGGCGCGGCCAGGTACAAACACCGACATGCCATGCCCACATCAATCAGACCCATCACGCCCCTGACGCCGGCCCACAGACCGCGCGTGATATGCATGTCACGTGCTGACGGCCGCGAGTGACGCATCACATGAGCAGCGCTGCCAGGCGCGGAGCTGCGGGAGCTGCCGGCTGAGCCGGCGCCGGGAGCGGGGGCTGCCGACTAAGCCGGCGCCGGCGCCGGCGCCGGGAGCGGGAGCTGCCGACTGAGCCGGCGCCGGAGCAGGAGCCGCCGACTGAGCCGGTGCCGGGAGCGAGAGCTGCCGGCTGAGCCGGCGCCGGGAGCGAGAGGCTGCCGACTGGGCCGGGCCGGCGCCGGGAGCGGGAGCTGCCCACTGAGCCGGCGCCGGGGAGCGAGAGCTGCCGGCTGACGCTGCGCAGGGGAGCGAGAGCTGACCGACTGGGCCGGCGC